AAGCAATGAACATCAAACAAGCCTCAGTAGAATCTCTCATATCTAAACTCTGAATATTTCTTTACACATGTTCCCAAATATAAACAAACATTCTAAACAAAGCAATTTGGGAATACCATTTATATGTCCAGTATACATTAGGATGTAAGGATCAACTGTCCTATTTGCAAGTTCTTTATTGTATCCCAAATATCAGAGATGTGCATTTATATATGTTTCACTTCTCCTACTTCCTACATTGGTTTATGCCCCTACTAAGGTAGCTATGATAAGAAGCAGCTGGCTTCTTTGTTGTTACTTTTCTCTCTCATTAAAGGTTTGTTTGTCTTGCAATGGGTTAAGAGTGTTTTTCTTCTGGCAACTTGTTTTGTTCCCTCTAGGGCAGGGGTGTCAAACTGCCAGCCTGCAGGCTGGATGCGTCATGGCAAAACCGCGCCCACCCCATTGCCAGCAATGGGAAAAAAGTCACGATACGTCACAACACATCACGTGACGTTGCAAGTTTGACATCCCTGCTCTAAGGGTAGGTTAGGGAAAGGGATAGAGGTAATGCTTGAGCATTAGCAAAGTGGATGTTATATAATGAGAGGAATGAACTTGCTGCAAGGGACAGATGTATAGAATAAGTAAAAGGGTTTTTTTGTCCTCTGTTTTCTTTCCTTTTCACTCAGGTCTGATCTGCATGAGTACAGATTCTGCAGCATGAGTACAGACCATTGACCCTTTCTCAATAACAGGAACACACAGCACCACTGTCTGCCTGCCCCCAGTCCACCAGAAAGGCAATCTCTGCCTCGTCCATGCTAAATGTTAAAAGTAGTGTTTTATAATTTGTGCTGGCACAAGCAATGCTATCCAGTTCTGCTGCACCTCATGTCACTGAAAGCAAATATATCCACTTCAGTTCACGACTATATGCCTCCTCCTCCTCCTCCTCCTCCTCTGCCTCTCCACCAATTAGCATACAAGAGGTGTTTATTATGATGACAGGTCAATGGAGGACAAATTATATAAAAGGTTACTCAGTGGAAGTGGCATCCTCAAAAGTCCATCCATTTAAAGTGAAGTGCTTAAGGATTACAGAAATAGGAATCCACTAATTGGGGGCTTTGGAAAGTGCAGTCTAGGCAGAACATAAGCCATATTTATTACTGAAGTGAAGGAACGGGTTAACATCTGGAAGTGTGTTTCTTAATCCATTTTAACACTTTGAGGTCACTGAGAAATCAAGAAGAGTCCAGTCACCACACAATTCCACCAGAAGTCATTGATAAGTGCAATCACGGGTATCTCAGTTCCAAAATCAGGCTTGAATCCTGATTGAAAATCATTTATATAGGCACCACTGCTAAAAGTCACTGCATTCCAGTGTTTTTCCTGTTTCTTCTCATTTTTTAAGAGACCTCCTTTCCGCTATAATACTAAAACAAAAGTAAGCAATATTTTTGTGTTGGATTACTTGTTTAACTTTGAGAGCAGATTAAAGAGCAGAAACAAAGTGATTGTTCTGTAAAGGGCAGCTGTATTAGATATGGTCAGTCACAAAATATCTTTTTTTTTTTCAGAAGAACTACTCTGTCTGAAGGTCCACAGAATCCCAGTGGAAATTATATGGAGCTATTAGCATTGTAATAGAGTTAGATAAGGTAGGATGTCTGGCATAAACTAAGAGTGATAACTGAGGAAAAAATAACTAGGAACAAATTAACCAGCATTAAACAAGTTCAGAGTGGTACTAGTAGTTAATGTCTCCTAATAGGAGATACCTATTCCTTCTTATTTAAAGGAAGTAGGTGTAACATATTAAATAATTATTTTCTTGATACAAAATCACTTTGAAATTTAAATAGGTTTCATGAGAAGTGGGGGAGGAGTGCACTGTTATTAATTTTCTTGACACCCCCCCCCTTAATGGGCATACAGATAGATAGAAAGACATATTTAAAAGTCATAGAATATATTTGATAGGCTTGGGCTTTGAAGACATTATTTTGCAATGGTTCCAGTTTTTTTTCTCAGTAGCACCAGATAAGTGGTTTTATAAACTTTATCAAAGATATCTAGGTAGTTTAATACGATGCCTGCGTTAATCCACTAGAAGTTGCCTGAAACCCTGGAGTAAGATATCAGTTTATCACACTCAGTCTTAATGTCAAATGAGTCCATTCATTTTTTGGAACAATTCATTTGTCCTATATAAAATCCAGAGGGTCATTGCTGGCAGATAATTGCATACATTAATTTGTAGGAAGAACATGTAAAGGCACTTCTAATCTTGTGTTTGTTAGGGCAAACCTCAGAGTAGACCAAATACGACTTAAAACAAGAGTAAAGTAATATCAGACCATTTCAATTTCCCAGGACTACTTCATGAAAGACTGCAAAGTCGCTGTTTTGAAATAATTGAATTTTAAGAGCACCATCTAGTGATAAATTGCTGAATTCACATGCATCAAAAGGTTTCATGCAAACTCAGATCTCAATGAATACAATGGGTTTTTTTTTACACATTTTACAATTTTTTACAACTGTTAATAGATAAGGTACGTATAATCTGCATAACCAAACTATCTTCCCCTCCCATTTCCTCAACTTTTCCCATCCCATCCTACATTAGTTTAGCCACTCTGTACATCTCATGAAATAAACCGTAAGCTAAAGCTAATGAAAGCTTAATAAAAAGTGTTAGTTGGAAAAGGTGCTACTATACATTAAATTTTTGTCATGCCTGATAATGTATGTTCATTTCTTTACTGAATACCTAAGAAATACTCAAAAAATTTCAAAATTAAAAAAGAAAACAATAAAATAATAAAGAATTAAAATCCTGATGAAAGACAGCAAGAGGGGAAGGCATTTAATAATAATATAATAGAGTTATAATAGTAGAGTTAATTTGATGCAATCAACAAATAAAAGTAACATGTTCTTCAGTCTACTATGTTGAAGTATAAATCTAAGCTTTTTTGTTCTACTTTTGGCCTTAAAGGCAAATCAAATTTTTATCTGTTTGTTTGACTTTAGATTCTAAAGAGTGTAAACACAGCTCTTGCGCAAATTCTGTTCACAGCTCGGAGAGAAGACCCTCTTGCACTCTTGGAGAAAGATGACCTGAATAACTTTGTAATAACATATATAATATGTTCTATCCCAAAATATACAGGTTAGCCCTAACTTACTAATTTATTCAAAATCATTCTAAGTTATGATGGCAATGAAAGAGTAGGTTTACAACTTATTTTGCACAGACTATTCATACTACCAAACTAACAGAACCATGAAAATATCACATGGCCACTTTCATCTAATGGGTTTGTTTTACCCCAAATATGATAAAATAGGCAGATTTGACAGTGAAATAAAAGCTAATGTTAGCACCTCCCACCCTTTCAGAGGTATTTCATAACTTGCGAGCTCTAAATGAAAAGATCAAGTGTTTACACATAATGTATCACTTCTGACTATGGAGGGAAAGCCCCTTCAATAGATCTTTATACCTGATCGAAGGTTTAAATATGAAGGTCTAAGCTACTAAGGGAACTAAACTTCACCTGTAACATTTCCATACAGCAATTTCATCACTACATTTTACACCAGCTGCAGTTTGTGAAGCCTATCAAGGGCATTTGTACTGTGCCAATATATGAGGACAATTCGGAAATAAATCTCCGTTTGCTTATCAATGACAGACACTCGCAGATACAGAAGTTTTATTATACACATTAGAAAACTACAACATTGCATTACTTTTTGACATACTCATTCAACATCATAAGTTCTTGGGTGCATCTAGTGGTGTGCGGGCGAGCATTATCGTGAACCAACACCACACCGGAAGTGGTGCTATAGAAAATTCTGCCAAATGTGAAGATGCCAAAGGAGTACTGCTAGTGAGGTTTGTGGAGCGTGGTTCGACCATCAATTCAGAAGTCTACTGTGAAATGTTACGAAAACTCAGACGAGCCACCCATAACAAACGTTGGGGCGTGCTGACTTCAGGTGTGGTGTTGGTTCACAATAATGCTCGCCTGCACACCATTAGACGCACCCAAGAACTTTTGAAGCAGTTCCGTTGGGATGTTTTTGATCAGTGTTCCCCGTAGCCCAGATTTGGCACCAAGCAACTACTACTAAGGAATTTCAAATCTTGTAAGACATTATAACAAGTGCCTCAATTTGAATGGCGATTATGTCAAAAAGTAACGTAATGTTGTAGTTTTCTAATGTGTATAATAAAAGTTCTGTATCTGCGAGTGTCTGTCATTGATAACCAAACGGAGGTTTATTTCTGAATTGCCCTCATAAAGTTACCAGATTACGAATTAGGGTGGTTGGGTTATCATTGCTGAGGAATAGGTTTACCTACAGTGGCCGGTCAAAACTTGCCAAATAAACTCCAAAACACATAAATTCCTAGTAATAACAATAAACTACATTTACTACTGTTGCAGCCAACCCAGCTGGTTTTCCCCTCACAATCTTTGGTGCCCCATATCCCTCTGTTGCAGTGAGTGTGGCAGGCTGGTAAGACCAGGACATTGGACCTGCTTGGAAAATGGAGGGAGAGAATAGGGCTGCAGCCATAAGGAGGCAGAAGGGGGGAGGGAAGGAGTCGTAGTGGCCAAGACTTGTCCTTGATTTACTCTCCTCTTGCTCTTGAGCAACAATCAACATCAAGCCTTATACTAATTGCTGTGTCCTTAAGACTTAATATTACTAAAATAAAATAAACATTCAGAATTTATTATGTTTTATTATTATTGTATATATTCATTTGTTGAAAGGATGAATGTGGTCCATCATCCACTCTCAGACATGGCCTCACCCTTATGTGGAAGAAGGTTGCCAACTCTGCTTCGCAGCATCACACTGATTAATAAAACAGACCTGCCAACTCCTGAAAGTAGTTAAATATATCCTTAAATTCTTGCTAATAGAATATATTAAGAAGATAGCAACTCTGGCTTTTTTTAAAAAAATACACCAAGCCGGTTCCTTACCTGTCTGCTGTGTCACCCACTACCTTTCCTCCTGAACCATTTATGGACTCTTGCCTTGTAATCCCTTGAGATCTACTTCGTCCCAAGATTGACTGTTCTTGCAGCTTTGTTTTTTTGTCCTGAGGTGCTTTTTCATTCTGCAGTCCTCTAAAAACCTCTTGATCAGACTTCTGTGGGGTGTTAGTTCCACTATTATAAAACCATGCTCCAGATTTTGTGAGGATTTCTTGTTGCTTTCGGCATGAATTACACACCCACATTACCTACATATAATATGCAGAAAAAACTGTGATCAGTTTTTTAAAAGTAATCTTGACAAGTTCACACTAAAAATGAAATGTAATAAATGATTATAGAACATTAAAAATAACATTAAATGACAATGTTTTAAATTAATACAATTTTAACAGTTTTTAAGGTTAACAACTTGTTTAATTATATTTAACAAATAAAGTCCAAGGTCCATATAGGTTCTTAATATAATAGCATAAACCACATATCTTATGGAACTTAATCCTTGATAAAAAAAAAATTAAGTCTTAAAATTACAGTTTATACATCTTAGAAGTATTATTTCTAAAATCAGTAATTTTGACTATACTGTCGTAATTAAAACAGACAAATTCATTTTTTTAACCATCAGATCTTAAGAGTCAGCTGAAGTTATCCAGCTGAGCATTCTGTTTCCTGTAGTATCTCCAGAACCCAGGTTTCAAAACAAACAAACAAACAAAATCTGTCATTATTGCCCAGCAGTTAACAGACATATTCTCTTGAATTATAGACATGAAATCCTGAAATATAATACACGAAAACATTCATAATATACATATTTTATTAATAACATTATTTTATACAAGGGACTGCTACATTAAGTGCCCAAGCCCCAACCCTGAATCCCATAACATATTATCAACAGGCTGTTTTTATAGAAAACCATGTAAGTGCCCATAGACAAGTATGAAATCGCCAAGCTTGGTAGTGAAATGATGGTAGCACCATCAGAAATAGTAGGATAGTTTATCTTTGTTGATTCAGAGCTTAACCAATGATTATCTTTAATCTCGGTTCCTCAACTTTTCAAGAAGTTTTAGGTATATTACTGTGCCACTGTAATTTGACATCACAGAAATATGTTTGTTTACTCAGAAAGATACTCTTCTACAACTTGAAAAACTAATAAAATCACAACTGAGTTCAGAAGAATACAGTCAATTTAATATCTCCGTTTTCAATAAGAATGCCTAGTTTCTTCAATATGAAAGCCAATACTCTTGCCAGGCGAACACATCTGATTTTATAATATCAGTTCTTCCACTTTACATATATTTCCAACAGATCCAGACTAAAACAAATCCTCCTAGAATTATTATTTTCCTATTTTGATGGGTGTAATGTGTTGTTTTAAAGATTGAAATTGTAGGTAACCTTCAGGGAAATACCTGAAAATACATAAAACTACAGCCAAAGAGAAGTGCTGTATTTAGTCTGTCTGGTATTATTTTTGAGGTCATTCCAGTTACCCTACCTCCAGGCACTGTGGCCTCATATCAATTGCTTTACCTCATTTCTGTACTAGAATAATAGTTACACCAGAATCTTATGATGTTGGGAAGCATTTTGGATTTTCTGAAAAAAAAAACAGAGGCATTAAAAACCTTGGGAAAGTTTATCTTTAAAAAACCCTTCAGATCGAAAAGCAGAGAATATTGGAGAACAGGTTCCTTTAATTACTAAATCAAGTGTGCCTCATAAACCATAACATTCCAAGGTCTCTGAATAATCCTTTGGGGTGGATCATATGAAATAGAAGCAGCGGGTAGATAAAGTGGGAAGGAAGGCCAAGAGGCCATCAGGAAAAGAAAAATAGCCTCAAGCTTCATTCTCTGCAGATCAGCATCAATTTTAGCTTAGAGTAAAGTTGCAGGACCAAAATCAGTTATAGCTGCTTGACAGGATTTATTTACAAAAAAAAAAAAAGAGCAAAAAAGGAATAAAGAAAAGAAGCAACTCATTCAGCTGTTCTGTTCTCTACTATAGTAATAACATTAATTGCACAACTATTTTCCATATATATTAATATGGCTTCTAAAAAGAATTTTAATTCTGTTCTGCAATGCCATTGCTCTGTTTGGTACTGGAGCCCTTCACAACTGCTTTAAAATAAACAAAGTAGAGAAAGTATGCAGAGCATAGTTTCTGAAAATTTTTCCGACTCTTAAACAGTAATGATCATACAGTCGTGTGTATTTTTATCTGTGTAACAAAAAATATGTTGTGCCGCTGTACATTTGTGCATATCTACTCTATGTCAAATCACCAGGAGGGGAATGAAGATGTAAAGGAGCTTAGAATGGAATAGTCAACAACATTCCAAGTCATTATTCAGCAGTTTCTTACATCAAAATATATAGGGGAGGCAGTTTTCCTGATTTTTTTTCCTTCACAGATCACAGCTGTGATCCAGCTTATTTTTGAATTTGGTCTTTCTTCTGCCACTTCCAACATCAAGCTTGCTCCTCTACAGTTCCCAGAACATTATTTTGTAGATAGGCAGGAAGAGAAAGTGCCAAGCCCCTTATATAATTACTTTCCAAAATTCTGTTGGATTGGAAAATATATAGGTAGTCTGTGTTTAACAATGACAATTAGGACTTGAATTTCCCTCACTAAATGATATGGTTGTAAAGTGTAACATCACATGACCCCATTGCTTATTGATGGTGGCTCCAGCACTTTCCAGTGATTCATTAAGCAAATTTCACACCATCATTAAGGTGTCATCACATAATCACCGTCTGTGATCTCCTGCTGGTTTCCCCACTGACTTTGTGTCAGTCTTCCCAAGTAAACCAGACAGTAAACGTGATCAGATGAGCTATTCTAATTTATTTAAGGCTTCATTAACAGAATCTCGCAAGTCTGAAAGTACAAATCTCCCATTGCCATTTTAACAGCCTAACCAATGAGGCCAGATCCCTCCTAAGTTTCTGCATTTGATCATTAAGCCATTGGGGGCTCCTCCTTATCATTCTCTAGAAATATTTCTTTCCTTGCCCCTCAAGGTCATTCCCACACATGATTGCACTTTGCTTATAGGAAACCAGAATATTGCAAATGGCGACCACATGGCTGTGGGATGCTTCAACTTCATAATCATAACCTGGGTGCCAAAAACCGGGGATTGCAATTACATGACCATGGGGACACTATGACAACTGGAACTTTGAGGACAGGTTGTTTCATAATTCAGCACTATCTCACATCTGTTTGCAGTCTATCAGCAGCTCCTCAGGTAGCAGTTTATCCAGGAACTGTAGAACTGGCTGCTCACTGTTGATTTCCTCTCAGAGTTGGAACTGGCCATGAAAGCACCCTAATATCAGCTTAAATTCTACCAAGAATCAGAGGTCCAACAAATTCTTATCTTCTTTTGCTGACAATTTCATTTGTCAGGAGGTAGACGATCTGATATCGTCAACCTAATCCCTACCCAAAGAGAGGAATTGGTTGAAGTGAAATGAGAGGAATCTATTGTACTGTTGCCTTTTAATCATTTACACTGTTTTAACTAAATATATTTCTATATAAGTTAATAAAAATAGTTTGTTCATTAAAAAATATAAATAAATATGGCTTGAAAATCATTATATTTCTTAAATATATACAATAATTTACTATCACGTTTGACAAATTTGTGGGAAATAGGATGAATTAATTATATTAATAATGATAATTAATGATTTAATTGTATTATTTGTATCCAAATAATAACTCATTAAAATGTTGTACATGTAATAATTTTAAAAAGTGGAAGATGGATTATTTTGAAAAATAGCAACCTATTTTCCACTCAATTGTGTCTGTTTCTTGGAATCCACCTGGACAAGTCCCTGCAGTTTTCTCGGCAAGGTTTTTAAGAAGTGGTTTACAATTGCCTACTTCCTAGGGCTGAGAGAATGTGACTGGTCCAAGGTCACCCATCTGGCTTTGTGCCTAGGCAGGACTAAACTCACCATCCCCTGGTTTCTAGTCTGACCCTGAACTGGCTCTCAATCTTCATTGATATAGGTCTTTTTTTTTTCCCCTTATGAGAAACTTACTATTCATAGCAAAGGATGAAACACCATCTTGTGTTTAATAGTGGTATTGCTGTACTCTGAAATAATAATCTAACATGATTTAAAAAAATTATCCTCTGCATGCTTGCTTAGAAATAAACATTGTATAAGCTGGTATTATCTAGTAATATATTTAACCATAGATCTCTATTTAATACCAGAAACTTTAATTCCTTGACAAAAATAAAATGTGTGAAATCCACTGCTTTTTATAGAGTAGAAACTTAAAACTTGACCTAAAATTCCAGCCCTTTTTAAAATTCTCTTCAAGAAAATATACTTGAAAAATTGTAATTTATTGATCAAGTCACAACTGGTTAAAGGAGTCCCTGACTTACAACAGTTATTTTTGACCTTTCAAAGTTATGACAGAAACAAAATAGGTAGCTTATGATCTGTAGAGCACTCCTGGTTGTCATAAATGATCACATCACACATACCACACAGTCATGTGACTGAATGTTGGGCAGTTCAGCTTTGCAACCCATTGTGGCATTCTGTGACCACATCATTGAATGGGGTTTTTTTTGCTGGTTTTTCACATTTTTTGCAAATTTCATACAAAAATGTTCATTCAAATAAATGGTTTGCTTAATGACTGCCATGAAAAAAGCCATAAAATTAACTTCTGGTCACATGAGTGATTTGACCTATAATTGTAATAACTTACAACCAGATTTCCGGTCCCAATTAGGATTAAAAGTTGAGAACTACCTATATGACTATTCTTCAAAGCAACTTTATTGTAAATGGACTTCACTAAAGTACTGCCTTGCCTTGCCCTGCCCTGCCCTGCCCTGCCCTGCCCTGCCCTATCTTGTCATCTTATCCTATCCTATCCTATCCTATCCTATCCTATCCTAGCTATATGGACTCACATTCCTGCTTGAAGAGCAGGTAGCACCTTATAAGGACTCTATGCAATAAAGTACTTTTAGGCACCTTACTTTTAGGCACCTTTTTTTACTTAAAAGAGTTTTCTTTGGACATTGATCAAAGTATACAAATTGTAACAGCTTTACTTTGGCAAAGCAATGAATCTCTCTTCAGCATGCAAATATGCAGTCATGAACTTAACAAAGGAAGATTCAAGAATGCAGTTCAAATAAGTTGCTTTACTACATATGAAAAAGCTACTTATA